ACGTACGTTTCTAATGCTTGCAAATGTATCTCTCTAGCTTCAATAGGAAACTCTGATCATAGCATGTCTCTTTTATTACCGAAGTACAGACCTAAATTAAAATCGTCAAAGCTAAATTATAACGTTTCTTGCCATCTGGAGTGAAGAAAACAGGGAGAGCCTGAGACTGAGAGGTTGCTTTGAATGTACGAAGTGGAATTTTTTTAAAGATCCATGTCTAGATGGATTATGTGAGACTATCTCTGGTTACATCAAGTTTTGTGAAGATCTACATTCACAAAAAAAAGAAGTTATCTACTACTCAAATAGCAAGCCATGGGTTAGCAAGGAGTTAAAGGAATAGTAAATGAGGAGAAGCAATTCAAACTGAAAGACCGAGATAAACTAAAGACAACAAAATTATATTATGCTAAAGAAGAAAAAAAGAGTACATTAAGCGCATACGGAAACAAGTCAGAACAACACTTCACTTCCTCTAACAACACCAAAATGACGTGGCAATGTTTAAAAAGTGTTGTTGGAGGCGCACCACACATTATGACACCAACCCTAGAACTAGTCAGTATGGAAACAAAACTGAATTCTTTTCCCGCTCGTTTTGACAAGCACGACGTATCCGATCAGTTGACAACTGTCTGTCAAAGAAACCACTATTAAATTATATATATTTATTTATTTACTTTTTAAAAATTTATACAATGTATTTATACAATGTATGCAATGTTGATATACCGCGTGATTCAAAATGGCCGCACAGACGACAACAATAACACAGGGGAAGACTATGACAAGAGCATTGACATTTTGGTGGTTAAATCTGATGTCAATGAGGTCAATGTCATATTTCATCGTCTGAAAACTCACAAAGCGAGAGGACCCGAAGGAGTAAACAGTAACATTTGTGAAAATGTATACTACTAAGGTATCTCCCATTTATACTGATATTTTCAATATGTCTCTGAAAGAACGCGTAATACCACTCTCGTGGAAATGCTCTGAAATAATTCCTGTCCCAAAGAAACAATCAATACAACATTTGAAAGACCTAAGACCTGTGGCTTTAACATCAGTCCTCATGAATAAATGTTCAGAAAAACTGGTTGTGTAAGAACTGAGGAAATCAACAGAAGACATAAAGGACAACATGCAATTTGTCTATCGTGCCAAGAGGGGCGTGGAGGATGCCATTCTCGTGTTCTTAGATAACATCTACAAACACATAGACACACCAAGAAATTATTACACAATACTTTTTTGCTGATTTTTCATCCTCCTTCAACACATTCCAACACCACATAATGGTCTCATAATCAATTAACATAAACATAAACTTGAACATATAGCTTGGGTTCTTGGATTCTTGAGTTCCTGACCAATCGCCCCCAATATACAAAAGTAAATGGTGTAAAATCCGACCTAATATTCACAAACACCGATGCGCCCCAAGGTTGTTTAATCTCCCCTGTCTTGTTTTCGCTCTACACCAACGACTGTACTTTTAATAACAAAAACATTAAAATAATAACATTAGCGGGTGATTCTACTCTGTAAAGCCTTATATGACAACAAACGAGAATGAATACAGGGACGCTGTAAATGTAATTACAAAATGGTGTAATAACCACTTCCTTTTACTAGATTTTTAGAAAAGACAAAGGAATTAATAATAGACTTTAAAGTAAAAAAAGACAAGTTGTAAGCTTAACCACAATTTATTAAAGATGAAGAGGTGGAGGTTGCAAACTCTTACAAATATCGTGGAATAACAATTAATAACAAGCTTGGCTGGCATCCCCACGCTGTTCTTGTGCATACCATAAGATCAGGGGTGTGGGTGAAAGACAGCAGTAAGAAGGAGCCAAGGAGAAGCAGTGCAAAGGCTGCACAAAGAGTCAGGAGCCCAGAGGAGGGAGCAAATGCGGTGGGGGCAGAAAGTGGAGACGAAAGCAGACGACAGAAATGGTTTGAGAGCAGGAAAGGAGGTGAAAGTAAAACATTTTAGAGAAGAAAAAGGTCGATCGCTGTCAAGTTCGGAATCCGGGACATATTGCATGAGAAGTGAAGACCGTAGCCTTTAGACAGCGAGAACCCTCTAGGACAAATGAATGTACTTTTTGCCCCACTTGTTTGGAATAGGCTTCCAAAAACTATCAGAGAAGCAGAAAATCTAGAAATTTTAAAGAAGAAACTAAAATCATTTCTATTTTCATCATATTTCGATTAGACAGAATGCATCCAAGCTGTAGATCGTTGTGAGTTTGTATGTGCGTATGTGCATATGTACGTATGTGTGTATGTGAGAATGTATGTGTGTGTGGTGCGTGGTTGAGTGAATATGTGTTTGCATTAGTATGTAACACTATGTACCTTTAAAATTGATTTGTAAATCCATTATATGTATCATGTTAAGCGCATAGAGCATTGCATAAGTGGATATGCGCTATATAAATGCAATCCATTATTATTTATTATAACTTTCTCTAACAAGATTGATGTTGGTAGGAGTCACCGCTTACGTGTCTTAGGGGGTTCTCGTGGCCTAGAGGTTAAGGTGTTCGCCTCTCATTCAAAGGTCCCGGGTTCGAATCCGGGTAGCGACCGAAAAATTTTCTTCTCTAAAATTGTCTCCTTTCACCTCCTTTTCTGCTCTCTAGCAATGTTCTGTTGTCTGCTTTCATTTCCACTTTCTGACCCCACCCCCTCACCCCCTCAACTCCTTTGCCCCTTCCCCTGGGCTCCTGACTCTTTCTGCAGCCTTTCTACTGCTACTCCTTGGCTCCTCCTTACTGCTGTCTTTCTGCCACACCCCTGATCTTCTGGTAGGAAAGATCTACACCTAGCCTTCTCGGACAAGGGCGAAAAATCTCGGAGGGCCCGTGTGCAAGTTGCGCACGTTAAATATCCCTTGGTGGTCTAAAATCGATAAGAGTAGGCTTCGGCCGCCACCCGGGCAAAATTCAAAATTTCCTACCAACTGAAAATATTAGGTGTGTCCCGCACGCTCATATGACCTATGCAGTTGCGAGCGCCGTAAAACACTTTACAAAAACAAAACAAAAAACATGTCTTAGGTCTTTTTCTTTCTTCTCTGTTGTTCCTATGCGCCCTGCTATCAATATGCGCTGAATAGTATTTATTACGCCTATGTGCTTCTTGGTAGTAAAAAAAGCTCGATGCTTAGAGGGTACTTAGCTGTGGAAGGAGGTGACTTCGTTTCGAAGTAGGCAGTTTAACGCGAAGTGTCTCCTTTCACGTTGCATACTCTATTTGGTATTGAAATAACTGATCGCCTCTTAAGGCTACGCCCAAATTACTCATCGTTACCTGAGACCGACGGGGACGTTTCCACAACCAAAAACGACGGTGAAAACAAATACCCTTCTACATTAAACAGAAGTGGAGATATTTACAACTGAAGGAGGTGGGGTTTTCCTGATGTCAGAGGCAAAATTAGCGAGGAAATGGCCGTCAAAGTTTGTTAACTGCCA